AAAGGGATATCTGACTGATAAGATGATGGTGGGAAGTTTAAATTTAAGATTAATATTTAAACTTCCAATCTGTTGAAGTTATGCAGTTAGAATATTTGATATTGCCATATGTCCTAAATATAACTTTTGTGATTGGTGGAATGATATTTTTTGTATTAGCTTCTTAGTTCTTACAGTGATCATATATGTTCTTTCTTCTTTTAAATTACCAAATGACAAATTCACTTTAATTTTCTGAGTGATATGCACTGTTGTATGTAATATATATATATATATATACACATACATATATAATTTCTATTTCAGGGCAATTCTGAGAACTAGACCAAAAGGCAAGTATGCCAGTTTTCATCACTTCTGTTTCCGCAAGAAAGTTTGCAGAGCAACAGAGAATACTCCAATGAATATGAACCCAAATATAAGTATTAAAGATCCCTTTGGGCGAAAATATGGACATTACATCTGACAACGGTTAATTATAACATTAAGCCTGATGATTTGCAGCCTTAGCATACCTTGTAATGAAAGAGATCTAATTGCAGGGGAGACTTTAAGGTTTCAAATCTTCTAATATTCTGATTGTATTAATTTCAACTTACAGCTCGAAGTGGCTACTAAATTGTACATGTCAGAGTTGATTGAAATGTACTAAAAAATTGTCAATGGACAGGAGTCAGGGTCTGTTTGGTAACTTCACTTTTAACTTTTTAAAAAAATGCTTTTGACACTTTTTAAAAGTTAAAAATTGTTTGGATATAAAAAAAAATATAATGAAAGTACTTTTATGGATGTGTTTTGAGAAAGTTATTGAATGTGAATTTACCCAACTTGATTTCCCTTAGCTTCTGAGATGTGCTTTTTAAATATGATTCATTAATTTATGATATGACTATGCTATCCTTGATTTTTATATAAAAAAAATTACAAGTAATTTTTTGACAAATCACATGTATAAATGACCAAATAGACATTTATTGTAAATGTGAGTTAAGATGGGGTGGAAATGTGGATTTGCCGCCTTTATTTTTTGGTGGATTTAAAATTGTAGATGGAAGTTAAACTGTACCTACTTTTATAAATGACCATAATATTCTTATTATGTTTTAATTTTTTCCAATATTAAATTATATATTTTATTCTTATTATTTAACATATTAAATTTTATGTTATTTTAATTTTTTCATTTTTTAAACATTTTTCATATATTATATTTATATAATAAAAATTATCAATTATCATAAATCAATATTCTTTTTGATCATTGCATATTCAAAAGTACATTTTAAAAACACAAATTTTTATTAATTCAAATAACTTTTAGTTTGTCAAACTGACTTTAAAAAAATATTTAAATACAAATTTCATTATAATAATTATGACTTTCATTAAATTAATTTTTGTTAAATAAACTTTCATCAAATCAAACTGAAACAACCTAAAACCCAAACACATTCAATTTTGAAGGTTGACAATGTTAACATTACCGATGGATAAAGATGATGTTCTTTTGGAGTGTTTCTGACGCTGTTGTGGTGGTAATAATGACTTTTGAATGTAAAGTTATATATATTCTTTGTTTAGCCATATCCATCAGCTCTTGGAATTCTAAATGAGATCTCCCTACATTCATACATTTACGTATCTGGAGAGAGAGTGACACAAGAAAATATAAATGTATACGAGGCTCATGTTGTAAGCATCCTCACCTTGTGAATGATGAAATCACTTGATAACGTAGTGCTTGAGCTTCGTTCACGACATTTTTGGGTGCCACACTTCCTTCCAGTGAAACCAGTTTAGAGCTCTACCCTCGTACAGGCAGCACCCGTTACATGGATTAATAATTGTAGAATCCTCTTTCTATAAATAGAAGTATTGAATAGATGTAAGCTGTGATATGGATTCAATATAATTATGAATACATAAAAACACTTTCACCAATGGCCTTGAAGCTTAGTGGCATGGAAACTTCCCTCTGAATGAGAAGTGGCACGGATTCAATCATGCTTGCAACCTCAAGGCATTAGTGCATGCCTCTCTAATTACCAAAAAAAAAAAAAAAACTCATTTATCGCATAGCAGCAATGGCTCCTTACTTCTCTTCCTCTCAGAATCTTGACAGAAAATACGAAGATCTTGTTGCCTATCCTGAAAGTCTCCACTATGAGGGAGGAGACCTCTATTATAAAAGGAAGCAAGACTCTCTATTGAGCCTGCTGCTCCCTTATTTGCCTCTTTCTAGAGTAGGCTTGTATGGGCTTGCAGCCTACTCCCTTCATATATAATTTCCAGCATGATTAAAATGCAACATTAAGCCCAATGATTTGAAACCTTGACATGTCATCTAGTGAAGGAGAGGTCTCAGGGTTTCAAGTATTTTGATTTTCTGACTGTTTATTTCAACTTACAGATCCAAATGTTGAGGGAAATGATCAATTCAGAATTGACTGAAATGTTTCGGAGATTTTCTAGTGCCCTCAGCTTCAGCAGGTATGTTAGGTACCCATTTTTCAAGAGTTAGCAATGGCAATGAATAAAGTTGTCCTTTTTGAGTTTTTGTCTTGTTATTGTGGAGGGAATATTGACTTTTAAATCCAGAGTAATGTATGTTCTGTTCGGCCATTTTGGCCCGTGCTAAGCATAAGTTCTATCAGACTACGAAAACACCTCCATTTCTTAAAGAAAGCCCATTATTTTGAATGAGTTTGATTATTACTTAATTGATATAACCATATTTTAACCCTGTTTCTGCCTGTCTATCATCTTCACTTACTTTCCACTTTGAAGATATTTATTTGCCAATAAGTTTGCACATAAGATATTTCCATATCTAACCTTGTATCTGTGTTATTCGATCAGCTTGATTCCCTTCCGCAACAAACTGAGTCAGATTATCCTAAAGAGCTGGAGTTATTCCAAGAAATTATTGAGACTATTTCAACCTTCATAGTGAGTTATTCAAATCAATGAGTCGATTGGCTTGCTTACTAGGCCATGAATGATAATTTAGGTATTAAGACTTTTTATGAGCCTTCGTCAAGATGTAAGAATCTTTTGTATTATAACATGACTTGATTGGTTGTCATTCTGCATATATTCTTATCCGTGGCTTTGTATTCAAGGGAAAAAATGGCTTTGTAGTCACGAATTAAGTGCATTGAGTCTTCTATCATGTTATATCCAAAGGGCAGGTCAGGTAAATCAAAATTTATCTCCGATGCCTCAGATCATTTGTGTGAGTTCGTCCATGTATGAATAGCCAGATAGAAGATTTTATTTTCTCTACAATGGGCCATCTACACATCATTTTCTAGATACTATCAGCATTTCTTCTTATGCCTACACAGAAAAGAATAGGCAGATTTAACATTAAAAGAACCATTGTGGATGGTATAATAAACTAGTTTTAATATTTGATAAGTGTATATTTTATAATTAAATAGATTTAGATCTTAGAATATATTGGATTAATTTATAATATTTTATATTTATTTATGTTATGTTTGCATATATACAGATTTTGATTTGAGTCAAATCCATTGTTTGGATTCATAGGAATTTATAGATTTGAATTTGCAATTAAATATAATTTCTTTGTAATTTTAAATTCCTTCTACATCCCAGGAGTTTCAAATTTCAATTCATTTTCAATCACCCTCTGTTGTCATTTAGTGCTAGTCCATTGCCGTCATCTTGCGTCTATCCGCTGCCACCATCTGGTACAAGTCTGCCACCTGGAACTGGTGTCAATTCGCCACCGCCATTGTCCAGGACTCGTTTGTGATCATCATCTGTCATCTGTCTACCTTCGTCATCCGATGCCAAACATCACTATTAACTGGGAATGGTCTAGTGCCAAACGTTGTTGCTGATATCGCCTATGATTGAATTGCCTCCATTAACCAAGATTGAATCATCAGCACCAATTGAGAGTGAACCACCAACTTCGACCAGGATTGGACTACCAGCGCTGACCAAGATCAAACTGCCGGCACCGATCTTGACTAGACTGCATGCTTTGACAGAGATCGATCCGCCAACTTCAACCAGGACTAGACTACTTACGTCGATAAGGACCAGACACCCGGTGTCGAGACTGAGACAGGATGCATTAGTGGATTAGTCTTAATTGGCGCCAGCAGCCCGGTCCAAGTTGATGTTGACAGTCTTGTCCTTGTCTTGATTAACCACCACCACCCATAAATGAGATCGAACCGCCAACTTTAACTAAGACCAAACCATCAACATTGTCTGAGTTACTTTTAAATTCCAATATAGAATTTAAAATTTGAAATTTTACTTAAGATTCACACAAAGGATTTCAATATTATAATTTAAAATTTTTTATATTATTCAAATAAAAAATTTAGAATATATAAATTTTAAATATGAGATTTCAAATTCAAATTCCCAACTAAAATCTACCTATCAATGTAACCTTAGTTGATTTTATATATTTTCTCTCTAAATTTAATTGTTAGGGGAAGAAAGAGAATTTGAATATAAAATCTACTCATATTTTCACTTTTTTTATACATAGAAAATAATAAATGAAGATAAGGAAATACAAGAAAAAAGGAAAAGAAAAGAGAATACATACATACATACATACATATATATATAATTCTTATCTTTAAGATCTTGTTGGGTTCAGCTCTTATAATTTTTTCTCCGTCTAGTGTAACACAAAAGGAAGAGAGAGAGTAAAAGAAAAATTTAAGAGCTAAATCCCACATTGAATAAGGGACTCAACTTTAATTATAAATATTCTTTTCACGAAGAGAGAAAAAGCATCCAATTACTTATCAGAACAACTCAAGGGTTTTCACGAAGGCTTGGAGATAGATTACTTCCACTCCTTAATTACGCAAGAGGAAGAGAGAGAATAAAGAAAAAAAGAGCTAAATCCAATAAGATCTTGAAGAAAAGAATAACACACATGCATATATATTAGGTTCCCACATAGAATAAAAGCCTTAATTTTAACTATAAATATTATTCTTGCTAAGAGAAAAAAAGCATCTAATTACTTATCGGAGCAACTCAAGGGATTTCACAAAGGCTCGGAGGGAGGTTATTAAGTTCTTCATGTTTTAATTATTCCCTTGTACTCCTTAATTTTTTGAATGATTTGTTTTTCATGATTGAAAAGTTTTAAAACCGTGTTTATTGCTATTTTTATTTGTTTCTAAATTATTCAATTGGAATAGGAATGTAGCTTGAGAAACTAATTTCTATTCCTTTGCTTGACTCTTATGGATTTTGATTTATAATTATGTTTTGATTTATTTTTTCAATTATATTTATGTCTCTTATTCTTCATGGGATGTTATGATTGATCAACAAAATTTTTAATACTGAGGGTTGAAGAGTAAACCAAATTTTAAAGAGGTAAACACAAATAACTAAACAAGACATATATTTAGAGATTCATGACTACTTAAATTGTAATTTTATAGTTTGATTAGAAGTTTGAGTTTCACAACAGTGAATTCAATCCTAATTAAAGAGGAACTAATTGATATTTTGGAAAAAATTGCCACAATAATTGATAAATGTTCAATTTAAAAGGTAGAAATTAGTAACTTAGAGTGAATCTTGAACCCCTGTTGATTGGATAATTAATCTTTATATATTTACTATTTTTTATTTTCTGATTTAATCCGCAATTCAAATATTTTTCTCAATCTTTTCCTAAATTAAAATTAATTGAAATAACAAAATATTCACCTTCTTGTGGGTTCGATGCTCGGAATTCTCCTTGATCCTGTACACTTGTGGAAGGTATCAAGTTTTTGGAGCTATTATTAGGAGGCTAAAAATTTTGTTATTTCTTTAATTTTAATTTTTCTTATTTATTTTCCTTAAAAAATTAAAAAACAATTAGTTCTTTTATTAACTTTTGTTTCTTTTTCTCTCTTTTATATATATGTTAATGTTAACTAGACGGTGCAAGATTCTGGGTGATTTTAAGTTAACTTATCTAAGTGAACGTGCTTGCAATGCTAATAGGTACAACAAGAAGACGAGAGATGGCAAATTACGATGGAAATAATATTGTTGCACCTGTTCCTCGTTGGGAAGACATCCAGAGACCAATGATTCTTGCAAGCCGTTCTTGCATTCGACTGAGTGAAAAAATGCGAAATTATGAATTTAAAAGCAAACATGTGAAAGCATTGCCACAATTTTCTGGGCACCCAATTGAGGACCCACTAGGCTTCATCAAGGAATTTTATTTGGCAGTGTCAACACTACCTCTTAAGGGGCTGACCGAAGAAGAGCTAAAGATGCGATGTTTTTCTCATTGCATGAAAGAAGATGCTAGAGAATGGCTATTGAATTTACCTGAAGAGTCCTTGACAACATGGGTTGAAGTCTATGAAGCATTCATGCTTCGATTCTATTCACCTCATCAAATTGAAGAGTTTCGAGAAAAGATATTTTATTTTTCACAACTTCATGGGGAACTGTTCCATGAGACATGGGAGCGCTTCAAGACTCTTCTAAATCAATGCCCTCACCATGGTTTTACTAATTTAATGCTGAGTGAGATTTTTTATAAAGCTCTAACTCCTTTTTATCAGACCCAAGTTGATATAGCTGCAGGTGGATATGGAGGAAATGTTACGGCTATAGAGAAGATGAATGTATATGAAAAACTAGCCAGAAATTCTAGGCTAAAGGGAGTTCAAGGAAGGAGGGTAGAAGCACATGAAGTGGGAACTAGATATGGTATGGTTGCTCAACTTAAAGAATTAAACAAGAATTTCAAAGCCTTTTCATGCATCGTAATTTTTGAAATTCTTCTTATGCTGTGGATGCTACTAATTATGATGCAAATCCTTGTATGCAAGGAAACTTCAATGGAGCCTTTGCTAAGGGAACCAACCTCAATCACACACCAAATGATTTCTTACATGGAATTCAGCCCCAACCTCAGCAACCTTCAAGCATGATCTCCAAAATTGACAAGTTGGAGGATATGATCTCCAAGCTTGTCGATATTCAAACCAATGCCCAACATGCGCAAGCTGCAACCGAAGCAGCTATCAAGAATTTGGAAATCCTAAGTCAAGAGATTATCCAAATACTAAGGACAAATTTGTGACTACATATTTGGAAGTAACTTTGGTAAATTTTTAAGTGACTATCTTTTTTTTTTTTGTAAGTGCCTTTTGAAAGTTTTACAAATTCATATTGGAAAACAACTCATTCTCAAGTGTAAATCATGATTTTTCCAATTAAGATTAATAATATAATCCCAACTCATCATAATAATTTCAGTAGTATCTTTTTTTTTTTATTTTTCAAGTGATAGCAGTTTTGTAAACTCATATATATTTTTAATTCCAAGTAAGAACCATAGTTTATTATTAAAATTTTAATAATTTAGAATCTCTAATTGTAATTAATGGTCTTATGATATTCTTAATTGTCATTTTCCCTAAATTAAATGAATTGAAGGAATCATGCATCTTGCTCACGCAAGGGGAAGAGAGAGAATAAAAGGGGGGAAATGAAGAGCTAAATCTGATGAGATTTTGAAGAAAAAAATAATATATATATATATATATATATTAAAGTCTCATATCAAATAGTAATACTTTATTTATAAATACTCCTCTCATGAAGAGACGGAGCATCCAATCAGTAATGGTGTCAGGACCTTGAGCCATATGGTGTAACATTTTGTTAAGCTTCAACTGAACATATTTTAAATTTTTTTGTAATCCAAGCATCTTTAAAATTGAATTAAGGGATGCAAAATATTTTAGCCAATAACTGCAAAATAATAAAACATATAACCCTCATTATAATTTTCTCCAAATTTAGGGGGTGCATTTACCCCCAACATATACATAGCGTCGCCTATGCATCCAATCACTTATAGGAGCAACCTAAGAGTTTTCACGAAAGTTAGGAGAAACATTATTAGGTTCTTACATCTTAAATATTCCCTTTCCTCTTTGATTTATTTTTCATGATTGAAAATTTTAGAGCAACTAATTTCTATTCCTTTGTTTGACTCTTGTAGATTTTGATTTATAATTATGTTTTGATTTATTTTTCTAATTATATTTATTTTTTTTAATTCTTCATGAGATGTTATGATTGATCAACATAATATTTCATCTATAGGTAAACTCAATAAACTAAGAGGTGAAGAGTAAACATACCTCTATAACGGTAAACACAAATAATTAAATTAGAGATCAATTTAGATATTATTTAAATTGTAGCTTCTTCTCAACTTGATTAGGAGTTTGGGTTGTACAAAAATGAATTCAATGATAATCAAGTAGGGACTAATTGACACTTTAGAAACAATTGTCATTATTATTGATAAATACTCAATTTAAATGGTAGAAATTAATAACTCATAGAGTGAATAATGAACTCCAATGCTTGTGTTGATTGGATAATTAATTTTTATATATTCATTATTTGTTATTTTCTGATTTAATTTTCAATTCAAATATTTTTCTCAATCTTTTTATATATTAAAATTAATTGAAATAACAAAATCTTCACCTCCTTGTAGGTTAGACATCTAGAATAAATTAAATAGGAATTTCAAAGCCTTTTTCGTGCATCATAATTTTAGCAATTCTTCTTATGCTATGGATGCTACTAATTTTGATGTAAATGGTTGAATGCAAGGAAACTTTTGCTGAGGGAACCAACCTCATTCACACACCATATGATTTCTTATGTGGAATTCATATCCAACCTCAACAACCTTCAAGCATGAACTCCAGAATTGACAAGTTGGAGGATATCATCTCCAAGCTTGTCAATATTCAAACCAATGCTCAACATGCGCAGACGGCAACCAAAGCAGCTATCAAGAATTTAGAAATCCAAAATTAAGAAGTTATCCAAAAGTTGAAAATTCAAATTAATCAACTAGTAAACAAGTTCTTAGAGAAGCCTCGAGAGAAATTTTCTAGCAACACAAAGAGAAACCCAAGAGAAGAGGTCGTGGCCTTTACCTTAAGGAGTTGCAAAGAAATAAAGGAGCATCTCTCTAAAATGAAAAGGCAAACCAAACCACAAAGGTGGACAGGCCTTGGAAAAGCTTAAGAGGCACCTAATGCAAGGTCGTGTGAAGACGTGTTGGGACCTAGGGCAAAATTATTTAAGAAGCTTAATCTCTTGTCATTTATCTATTTTTATATCACTTTTCTAATTTTTTAAACTGCAAAATCATATATTTAAATTTTGTAATCAAATAATTCTAATATTTCACTTTCAATAGCTAATATAACTAATTCATTTATTCTATGTTTAGATGCATATAGATTTAGATTTGGATTTAGATATTTGAATTTAAGTTAAATCATTCTTTGTGTAATTAAAAATGTATGAATTTAGATTTGACTCAAATTCAAATCCAAATTCTATCTTAATCTTTTTGTAAGTTGAAATCCTTTTTAAACTTATATTATTTCAAATTTTATTTCAATCTCTTTGTAATTTGACCGGCCTGTCAGCGAAGCCGAATAGGACCATATTACTAATGATGACTAGGACTAGACTGCTACCACTGCTAATCGAGATCAAACAACCGACTTCCATCGAGATTGAAGTGCAAGCAATGATTGGAATTGGATTGCTGACTTCCATTGGGACTGGAGTGTAGGCTACAAAGAGGACTGGAGAGGTGACTTCCATCTGGATGGGACTGCTAGCATTGACCAGGACCGGATGATCGACTTCCATTGAGACCAAACTATCGGTGCCAACCAAGACCAAACTACCGCCTGTGACCAGGATTGAATGGCAAACTTTCACCGAGATTGTACCACTAACAACGATCGAGACTAAACAACCTCCTACAATCGAGATCGATGATTGAACAACCGAATCCCACCGTGATCGAGACTAGCGACCTTGGCTGGGAAAAGACTGCTAGCACCAACCGGGACTGGATCATTAGCGATCTGGTCCCGATCGAGGTTGTCAGTATGATCCGATCCCCCATCAAGATTGCTAGTCTAGTCACAGTGGGAGCTGACTGTCAAATTCCTATCGTGGGTAGCCATCTAGTCCTAATCGACATTGACAATTCAATCTTGATTGGTGCTAGTAATCCTATCCCAATCAATGTCGGCGGTCGTGTCCTAATCATCGCCAGCAATACGATCCTAATGGATGTCTAACATTCGATCCTGGTTAGTGCTAGTAGTCCAGTCCTCATGGAAGTCAACTGTTTGGACCACCGACATTGACCGAGTTGTTTTGAAATTCAAATATAGAATATAAAATTTAAAATTTTACTTAAGATCCAAACAAAAAATTTTAATATTATAATTTAAAATTTTTTATATCATCTAAACAAAGAATTTTAATTATATAAATTTCAAGTGTGAGATTTCAAATCCAAATTCATCCATCCAAATGCAACCTTAATTTATCTTGTAACATGATTAATCTTAAATTAACTTTAAACAATTTTAATATTGAAAAAATTGTTTCAATAGTAGTAACTATTAGTAGTTTAAGGGTCAATAGTCCAACCAGGGTCAACTTGAAATTAGATTGTTCATGATTAGAATAATATGTTTTAATTTAAAGATACACAAATATTCATCTTTAAACATGACAAAGAGTAATATTCAAATAAAGAAGTCATTAATTCTCAAGTAAATGAAAAATCAATCCATAAAATGTTATACAAATATTAATTATAAGTTTATGACAATAATAAAATACAACAACATTAAAAATATTAATTAAGAGATTTGGATTTAATTTATGGTTCAATATTTAGAAGGGAAAAGAGAGCAAATAAAAATAATCGGGTCAACCCATTAACCCATCCAAATTGATCGGTTCATAGCCTAGTTCATCTCAGTAATTGGATTGGCCCGATGACTAAGGCCCTTGGTCTAATCAGTTAGCCCTGCCTGTTCTTTATACCATGCATTAATATCTTTTTTTCATACTTTTTATTAAGGGAGTAAATAATATTGCTAATAAAAATCACTTTTTCATTTTATTATTTTTCATTCCATATTGAATGTGCATTTTTTTTACATGCTAAATGATTAGTATGAATAAAAAATAAATACCAAAAAGAAAAATAAACATAGTCAATTTAAAATTGGCCCCAAAAAACCTGATATTACTTTATGATCTATAAATTTCATTTAATTCAAATTTAACAACATTGTAAGTAGGGATAAGATTGATTTTTTAATTATACATTTGAGATTAAAATTAGGGTAAATACTATGCATTGTATGGTGTTTTGGAAAATGAGTTAAATTATTTAATGTTCATGGAAAAAAAAAAGCTTGTTAGAGATTTTATATCAGGTATAAATTTAAAAATAAAATATAATGATAAAAATTAAATTATAAAGGACCAATATTAATAATAAATCAAGTTAATCCTTGCTGTCCTTTTTACACGATAACTTCCCATCAATTCATTGAAGTCAAAGAAAGGCTGTTCAACCATTTTATCTCGCCCACAGTTTGCAGGATCATTGTCTTGTTTTCTCGGCTTTGATCAGCTAATCATACACCTTTGGCTTGTTCCCGGATGAAAGTATTTTAAGGTATCCAGTTTTTATTTGAGTAAGCTTGTCAATTTTAACTGCAATATTACATTGCTGTTGCATGAAAGAAGCGATATTGAAAGAAGGGTTGTACAGGGACACTCATTTTGAATAGAGGGATCGTATCGAATTACTTACTTCCTAAGATATCAATAGTTTAAGGCCAGTTTATTTCGTCAGGCAGGCCAAAATAAAGGCCAGTATGTTTTGAAATAAACGTCGCAGAGCATTTTCATTGAATACAAATTGGCTAATATGATGGAATTCTTGGCTATATTTCTATTGTCTGTCTATAAGTATTTCATAGTTGATGTCAATAACATCCAAGGCTTTGTGTGTTGGCTTGGTTTCATTAGAACATGACAATAGAATGTCTAATGACTTGTGAAGGTTGGTTTGGCTGCTTGGCAATGGGTGAAAATATAGTTTAGGTTGATTGCCTTTGTATTGACTGATCTACACGTGCCAGCCCATTTTATATATTTCCTTATGATGTCTGATTCGATTTAAATGTTCTCGTTTTGGGACCTGAGTCAAATTACATTTGGCAGACTTGCACTTGGTGGAGAGCCAATTATGGATGCAAGTGATTGGAGAGCTGAAATGCAGCCTGGTGCTTGTAAAAATGGTGTCCAACAGATGTAGGTCTAAATCTTTTTTTGTATTTCAGATCTGAATTTTTCTTTGTTTCTGTAGGTGCTTTAAAATTGAAAGGCTTCCATCAATCTTCACTTGTTTGTCATGTAAATTTAATTTGTTCATGATTTCATGAATATATATATATATAGATATAGATATATATGTCTGAAGCAGACTCTTGGTGCCATTGTGTATGATTGGCCAACTTGCAAAACTATTGCCTAATTCTCTCTCTATGAATACAATAGTTTAGAATTCAGAACTATAATTGGACCTTTTCAATTTCCTTTGAAACGCCAGTGTTCTTCATTCTCAAATCTATAATTCACGCTGAATGTTGATATTATGCTATCATAGTTGAGGTCTGAGCAAGAACTTTGACAGGGTAGTGTTACACAAACTTCTTAATAGGATGATCTTGACATGATGCACAAGAAGCCTGATTGAGAATTTGTGTATCATACTATCATTGCTGCAATGGTATTGTCGACAATTTGACTTTGGAGTTATGAAGTGTACACGTCAGAAAAGGAATTTCTTTTTCATACGTGTTGAGCATTTATATTGTACACAAAGCATTTGGAGACTCTGCTTGTTATATTCTGCTTTTCATGTTCATGTTACGTCCATGAATGCAAATGTGCTTCTTATCGCTTTGGAATCTGCCAATATGTGATGTTGCATTTCATTGTAGCTTGGCAAGATTGGTTTGTGTTGCCTTTTTTATTTTCACCTTGGTGTTTTTCCATACCCCAATAGTTTTTTTTATTTGATGTAGTTGACTAGGTATACATTTTTCTTCTTTTTGATGAATTATGATTCTAATGAGGGCCAAGGTGGCATGAGATGTCTAATTCTCACATTGAGTATGTGGGTTGCTGTATGACGTACTTAAATAGGTTGGTTCCCTCACCTCAATAATTAGTATTTTCATGGGGGCACCTCATTTAGGTACCCAGCAATTTGGTATCAAGGCTAGTAGTTCATGACTCCAAAAAGGATTTGTGGAGGATTCTGACTAAGGGTTTAGACTGGGATACAAATGAGTAAAGTGTTGTGGAGTGTGGTCATCAGATGTTGACCCTCCAAGAGAGTCAATTGATGGAATTTAGGTGATATGGAATTCCAAGTCCCGAATTCAGCTGCTTGGGATGCTCTATGGAGTACTTAAGGCGGTTTGTTTTCCCACTTCATTTTCTAGCTTTTGAAAGAGGACACCCCTAGTCCCCGCCTAACTGTCCATTAGCTTCTAATATGTTATTGAGTTGATTTCATCATATTCAACCACCTGTTACATGTACTTGTAAAGAGCCGAGCTTAATGAGTCACTTCAGCTATTTTTATTCTTTTTTTCTTTTGTTGTTTTTTCTAGTTTCTGGGTCATTTACTCATGAAAATCTCAGTAATTGTCAGGAAAGAAAAATTGGTCATTGGTAGTATCTATTTGTGTAATTCATATCACAATTTGTTTTCTATGTGTCTTTTTTTAAGTTGAAAGTAAAGAGGGAATTGAAATTAAATGTTGATAATGTATTTTCGTTTGAGGCATAGTTATTAATAGCTTTACAGCTTGTAACTCACCGCAATGCAACCTTACAATGTGCCAATTATCTAGCACGACAACTTTCATATAGCCTTTTTGTAGCTATGCTATAGGAGCTACTATGTGTAGCTGTAATTAGAACAACATATAAATAGGGGAACAAATAGTCATTATTTATGTGATTTTACAGAGGCGAGAATCGGAGATTCACTTGACTCTTCCTTGGACAACCAAATATTGAATGATTTTGTTATCATTAATCATATTTAGAGCATGAGAAGAGGGCCAATCTCTTCTCATCCTCCTAAAATGGTTGATGAACAAATGAAACCTTTGAAAATGAAGAGAAGATTGAAGGATTGCCTGTTGACAATCATTATGATGATATTTCATTTGATGAATAAGAGGAATTGATTGGCATATATTATTCTAAAGCTTAGACTAAAAAAATTTGCAAAGCGCTGATGCATTGAGTTGAGTACTGAATATTGTTATTTATGGATAATTATTAGCAGACTTTTTTTTTATTGCTTTACACTTTGAGTGATTATATATATATATATAGATATATACTCCCTCTATTAAAAAATATAAGGTATTTTTTGAGGAGTTGAATGTTCAAAAATGTAAAGCATTTTTAGCCTTTCGAGGTGTAATAATTGCCTTTTTTTCAAAAGTGCCCCTATTGATGAATGACTTTATATTTATTGTAGCGTATTTAATAGGGGTAAATATGAAAAGATAGAGTTAGTTTGAAAGTAGGTAACTAATTACTTTATTGCAGGATGAAATTCGGTTAAAAATGCCTTATGTTTTTAAATGGAGGGAGTGTATGTTAGTGATTTATCAATTATATTTGGGGTTCTTTAAATGTGCTACTATATAATGAGGATGTTATTCGCTTTGGAGCCTTTGATTGTTTAAGAACACTCTTCACCATCTTATGACTTGAAAGTGAACTGTCCTTTTGGCTATGAAGAATGAATGCAGTAAAGCTATATTACCATTATGATGATGAAGACGGCCTGCAAGAACTTAAAAAAATTTCTCAAAATTTTGAGCAAAAGACTTTTGCTGGTGCAACAAGCCAGGTATGCTCAATTCCATTTCCAGATCTTGAAGTTATCATCATCTTTTAAGTTATCTATGTAAGCATATTAGATTGAGAATGTAATGAGGCAGCCCTTCTCTGTTTTTTTTTTTTGGGTGGTGTGGTCAACTACATGGATTTTCTTATACTCATTTCCTTTATGCTCCCAATTTCAGTCAGATTATTTGTAGAAAATAATTTTGAAGGAGGTTTCAATAAAGAGTAAGTCTTTAAACTTGATGTTCGACTTTGTAGCATCAAATTGAGTTGTTTTAGCCTAATTAAGCTTTTTGTTATTTGAGGTTTCTTTATTTCTGAAGCTTCGACATTATGGTTTGGTAGGTCCAAAATGGACTGTAAATGACTCAATCACTTGTTGTTCAAGCAATTATTATTTGTTGCTGACAAAATATTTGGTTTTTTGCTATTGATTTGACTTTCTTCCATGGAACTTTCTAACATTTTATGGGTTTTCCAATTAAATTTGGGGCATATTGATTGTGCACTCTGTATTATTGATTCAACTATCGCTCAAATTTTGTTCATTTGTATTATAATGTTGTTTCCTATTCCCTTTATTGAAACAGAGTTCTTTCTCCTCTGTCTGTAGCTTGTCGGGTACTCACTGTCTATTGAAAGAATGCAGTGAGAAAAGTTTATATTGCCTTTTTTTTTTGGGTTGATTGATGCAATAATACCTTCTATATCAGTTTCTTATGATTAGTTACCTCATCTGCTCTTTTTTCTTTTAAAGAAGAAAGTGATGAGTACTATTTTACGTTATTTATTTGAGCAATGTGTACTCATGTATTTATATCATCATAATGTTTGTTCTAGGGAAAATGCAAGAACAGGTTTACCAAAAGGTAAATGTCCTATTCTTTTTGCCTTTTCTATTTTCTTAATAAAGCTGGCAGAACAAGAGAAAATAGTCAAAGCCAACCCAAAGTAAGTATTGGACAGCGATTGCCCTTTGGTTGAGGAAAATTGTGAACATTACATAAACTCACATTTTTGCTTTTTACATTTTTAAATTATAACATTAAGTACCATGATATGAGTCCTTGAGGTACCAATATTTTGATTGTTTGATTGTTTTTATTTCAACCTACAGATCCTAGTGTTGAAGGAAATGTACTTGCCAGAATTGAATGAAGTGTACCAGAAAATTGCTAATAAACTTCAGCAGGTATCTTAGGTTCTCTTTATCTTTCTGGGTACTATTACCTGGTATCCCCTTTGGTTTTTAATACAAGACACTTTTTAGAAGTTTTGCCCTCTCCTTAATATAATACACTTCATAAAATTTAGTTAAGCATTTATAAATTATTTCCATAATTTTAATTAAGGGTAGTTTGGGAATGTTATAGTCATTTTTAAAGAAATCAAAACTCTTAACTAATTTTAACCACCTTTCTTAATCCACATAATTCAGTTATAAGTGTATCTAACACCGTTCACTTCAGATTTAGACAGTGTTGCCCAGATTGGGGGTAGTTATCCCACTTTACTTTTTTCTGCTGACTAGGTTCAGAATCTTGATCTTTGTAATACATGTTGTGTCCTTTCAGTGTTTCCATGGACAAATCTGTAATAAGTTAGCAATGTCAAGCCCACCCATGGACAAAACTGTCTTTTTTCAGTGCTTTCATGACTTTTGAGTTCTGAGTAATACATGTGTCGTTCTGCCATTGAAGCCTGTGCTAAGCTCTTTGAAACCAACCTCGTTTCTAGAATATCTGATAATTAGTTAGTTATTTAAATGAGTTATTATCTCATCAAATCAGTTAAGGATGTATGAATATATATGGAGTTAAATATCATGCCTTAACTCGTCCTAATTTAAATTTAGGAGTTGTGACCAAACCTGTATATTGGTCTACATGAATAAAAGCCATATAGTATGATTTTTCTATATGTTTTTATATGATAGCTGATAAAACAAGATAAAGTGAAAGTGAAAGTATAAAGAAATAGATTTTGTTGGAGAAATGAACGAATACCAAGGATCTTGAATATTTATGAATCTGATAATCACGAATAGAATCTTTAAGTACACAAGACACTTAATATTCTGATGAACTACTTCTACCATCATACACCTATTTACACTAGCAAAGCATATTAAGAAGTACATATCAGAAAGAAACTAACTAAAGCCCTACCAACTACATGCAGGAGATGTGGGATTTTTTATTGATATTGTAATTGGATAAAAGTTTAGCCATATGCATATAATTTACTCTTCCGGAGTCCAAACCATAATATAGAGCATTTTTTGGAACTCACACTTAGTTCAAAATATAAGGTATTGGGTAGTTCTTATAATTTTTTTTCCAACTATATTCTCCCTTCATTTGTTATTCCCTTTAAAAATTGATTCATTAAAATTTCAATTGTCATTATTAAGATATTCAAAACAATGTTGACTGTGTATCAGGTTGACTCTCTCCCACAGCAAGCAAAGTCAGACAAATATGAGAAACTGAAGATATTCAAAACAATGTTGGAGCGTGTTGTGGCATTCCTGCATGTTTCTGAGAGTGACATATCTCCTGGCATGAGCAAAAAATTACCTTCATATGAGAAGCAGATTATCAATTTTATAAATACGATTAGGCCAAAGAGTAATCTACCAGTGCAAATTCCCATCATCTCCCCAAGTTCTGTAGCATCATCTAGTAGCAAATGCACCATCATGATGGATGATTACTGGTCATGTTATGGTATGGAGGTGTGAATTTTAGAGTTGACATTGCAATCTTTGAAAGATGAATCTTTTTACTTTGTCAGAAGATGGCAGCCTTCATCAACTTCTTGTTAATAATTTATAACTTGATTAGTGTATCTTTGATAGATTTGTAACTCTAAAAAGGTTTGACTTGTAACTGTGTGTGAAGATTCATAAATAATAATATTTAAATTATTAAATATTAAAGTATTAATATTTTAATAAATATTATTAAAATGAATATAATACTTTTAATTACTTGCTGATATTGTTACTGATATTTGTGATCTGATAATCATCTTGTAGTCAGTCAAGTGGCTGATTAAAATGGCATTTTGATATTTTACATAGGTAAAAAATAATATTAGTCTATTAGCATTTATTTGTAATTTAAAGAATTTAATTAGCATTAATATTTTTATAAGATATTTATTTGTAATTTTTAGTGTACTTGAAAAAAAAAGACGAATTAACACTTCAACCATAATTTTAATAAGTACAAACTTAGAAGACTCTCGAGCCAGTTTGATGCTTTATCACTCCCATTATACAAACTTAGCTTACTCTTATATGGGTTTAAGGCAATGTTAAATGTAAACATTTTCTATGAATTTATTAACTTGTTTTAAGTTGTTGTCTATCTTTTCACAGAATATGAGAATTGAAAATCAAAATTCTTAATAGCGATTCAATAATCAAAGACTACAAAGAAAATAATATTGAAGCTATAAATAAATCTTTAAATACCGTATTTAAAATAATCATAATGATTTAAACATAAATAACTTAATTTTAAATATCATGGAAGATATTTCTTTTCATTCAAGAGTTCTATCAAAACAAGAATATCATTAAAGAGAACCTACTAAGTTTTAAAATAAAAATAAATGTGAACAGAGGCTTGGCTTTGTATTAAAGCTACTAATAAGATCATTGTCCGATAGTGTCGTGTCATTTTCAAAGTACCCCCAATTCCTTTTATAAGAAACAAATAACTAATTCATCAATATTAAGAAATATAATTAAAAATAATTAGAATCAATAATCTATATGCTAAAAATGTAAAATTCTTTTATCAAAAATACCCTCACTTGTGTAGCTGATTGGTTAGTAATGAATACTTTATTGTTTCTAATAAATACTTTTATTAATGAGAGCCGAAAAAAAAAAGGAAGATCTAATAAATGCTCAAAACAAGATATTGTTAATTCTTATAAATTGGATCAAGAACTCTGCCAAAATTTTCCTATAAAAAGGACAAGGGAGAGCAACATGATGCTTCAATTCAACTGCTTCAAAGGACAACGCTGTGTCATGACTTCCAAATGACTACTGAGAAGTTGATGAGATGACCAATCAAAACAATCTGATTTTTCAGAGACTGCAATGTCATCTATCAAGAGTGAGAAAGATTTTTTTTTTTACATCTCCATAACTTGACCATCCATCAAGGTCCACGAGAGCTTACAGGAAACTCCACTTCCTGTTATTTTCTACATTTCATCAGTTCAAAATAGCATTACACTATTGGGCTGCAATGCTACTAGATGATGCTACAGATACAGAACTCGAGTTGATGGGAATTTGACTTCCTACTGGCCTCTTCACATTTATAAAAATGATAATCTGCTTCTCATATGAAGGTAATTTTTTGCTCAAGGCAGGAGATATGTCACTCTCAGAAATCTGTAGAAATGCTATAAGCCGCTCGAACATTGTTTTGAATATCTTCAGTTTCTTATACTTGTCTAACTCTGCTTGTTGCCGAAGGGAGTCAAACTGAGAGAGACAAATTCATGATTGAATACAACTAGATTAATAAATACACACACATGTCACACATATATACTCTCTGTCTTATTTATAAATCAATTCTAACATGTATCATTAGAATTTAAAAAAATCTTAAAGCTCATTAACCCTGTTTAAAAATTCAATGAGTTTTTAACGTATTAAATATATATATATATAGTTTAATAATATTCTTTCTCTCACCATCATTTAATAGATGTAAAAGGGGAAACCTATGATAAAAAAATAAATGACATGACTTGTAAATAAAACCAAAAATATCCTTCTCTTTCTGGTTTCTGCAGACAGGAGGGAGTATCTACTTTTTAACAATTATTGTTCCAACATTCTTATCACTTTACAATACAAATAAATATTTTTCAATTTCTGGATTTTATATGCATACATACAAGGGAGGTGATTAACACAGCCCACAATTGCATATCAGAACCACTAAAAGATAATTCTAACTAATGTCTAAAAACTTTACATCGGGATCATTTAAATTAAATTTGGGCGGTCAATATTTCATCTCAGCGATAAGCATGTCGCTACGATAAGTGTTGAATAATATACACCTGCCCTACTTCACTGTATGCTTAACCTTCTAAATGCATCCTTTGACTCAATTGAAACAGCGAGCCTTCTATTTAACTAAGATGTGAGTTCTCGTGTCTCATTCTAAATATCACTTTGTGAATGGTGAGGATTCAAAAGCAATGGCCAACCAAGTCAAAAGGAGAGTGGGCGACATGGCTTACGTCGCAGAGCAGTAACTGTCCCGCATCTCCTGCACATAGGCCATAAATGTAGTAGATAGGGCATTATTTGCTTTTCTTTCCGTTATGTGTTTGGCAATGTGTTTCTCTCTAGTATAAAGGTGTATGATGTATGAGAGTGGAAGACTGGAAGTGGTTCATCAATCATCAGAACATTAAGTGTCTTGTGTACTTGCTACTTAGAGTCCTTTTGATTATGAGATTTACAAGCATTCAAGATCTTGCCTTCATTTCTCCAATAAAATCTTTCTTTAAACCTTCATTTCATCTTGTTCATTCAGTTCTTATAAAAAAAACAAAGAAAATAATACAATGTGGATTTTATTCATGTAGACATTTACACAGGTTCGATAAAAACTTAATTTAAATTAAGAAGACATAAGGCAAGATATTTAATTTCATATAATACACACACACAAACACATTCTCAACTGATGTATTGAGATGATAACTAAGTTGAAATAAAAATTATTTTAATAAACTAACTAAATATCAGATATTCTAACAACAACAATGAGCTTTCTTTGAGAAATGGAGGCAGTTTCAAATAGTTCAGCACAGGCTGCAATGGCAGGACAGCTCACGTGTTACTCCAGACTCAAAAGTTAACATTGTTAAGCAAGGGAAAAATTGAAAAAAGACAGCTTTGTCCGCTAATGGTGTTAACATTGTTAACTCCAAAAATGAGAACCTACCAACAGTGGTCCGTTCAAGTTAAAAGGAGGACACAACACACGATATGTACTAAGCAAGGTTGATGGTTTGAATCTTGTGATAAAAAAGAAAAGAAAAGAAAAGAAAAAAAGACACCTGCTAGATTCTAGTAGTCAATTTCTCGCACATTTCTTGCAATTCTGGCAAGTACATTTCCTTCAACATTACAATCTGTAAGGTGAAATAAAAACAATCAGAAATCGAAACATTTGAAAACCTTGAGATCTTCACTACAATTGGATCTTATTGGCTACAGGATATGTCAAGGATCCAAATCAATGGACTTTAGTTATCATTTGAAAATGTCAGAAGTGTTAATTAATGTAATGCCCACAATTTTCCTCCACCAAAAAGCAATCAAGAGGCTCTTCAACACTCTGGATTGATTTGACTATTCTCTGTTGTTCTGCCAGCTTTATTGAGAAAATAGAAATGGTAAAAAAATGGCATGTTTACCTTTTTGTATGCCTCTTCTTGCATTTTCCCTAGAACAGATGGTTATAATAATATAAAAAAACATTAGTACATAGTGCTGAAATAAATAAAGTAAAATAGTAGTCATTTTCTTATTTAACAGAGAAAAGAAAAAAAAATGAGGTAACTGTCAGAAACTAGTATAAAAGTAATATTCCCTCAATCATCAAAAAAAAAAGGCACCTAGCAATATCAGCTGTTCACACTACAAACTTTCCAAAGACATGGAGTACCCAACAAGTTACTGGCTGAGAATCAAGGGCTCTATTTTATTGCACCAACTCAAGTTAAGAACGCATTGCATGGGCATAGTTACAAAATTATTTCTTAACAAGCTAGATTCATTTTTACAACTAAAGTCTTTTGAATATTACAATATAAATGCACAAAATTTTGAGTAATTTTTGAATCAATAATATAGAGTGCATGATTGATATAGAGTGAATTGATTGGAAAATCAAGAAAGCATTAAAAGATTCCATAGATGAAAGTCAAATCCATAACAAAAAAACCAAATATCTTGTCAGCAACAAATAATAACTGCATGAACAAGAAGTGATGGAGTCATTCATTGTCTATTTTAGAAGACTTACAAATAACCAAACCTCAAATAACCAAAAGCTTAAATAGGCTAACAACGGAATTTGATGCCATTGGGTTGCACGTTAAGTTTAGAGACTTACGCTTCATTGAAACCTCCTTTGAAGTTATTTTATGCAAATAATTTGACTGCAATCAGGAATATAAAGGAAATAATTACAAGGTGATCCAGTAGATGAGGGGGGAAAAAAAGAGGGCCACTTCATTACATCCTCAGTCAAATCATTTTACACAGCCACAGGTACCTCAAAGGATGATGATAACTTCGAGATCTGAAATATGAGCATACCTGACTTGTTGCACCAGCAAAACTCTTTCGCTCAAAACTTTGAGAAGATTTTTCAAGTTCTTGCAGGCCATCATCATCAAGACCGTGAAATAGCTTTACTGCATTCATTCTACAAAGTCAAGAGAACAGTTCTCTTACATTTCATAAGATGAAGAGAGAAGCCATTACACATTCCTTAAAATATAAATTTTTAAACAATCAATAACAAGTCTTATCCCACTAGGTGGGGTCAACTATATGGATAGCATGATGCCATTGTGCTCTATCATCAACCAATTTTTTAGGAATATTGTTAACTAAGAGGTATGGTTCAACAACTTCTTAAAGTGTTTTCTTTGGTCTTTCTCTACCCCTCTTTACAAAGCTCAAGATTACCCATTCCACTCTCCCTACCGATACTTCCCATGGCCTTCTCTGTACTTGTCCAAATTATCTCAAATGATTTTCTACCATTTTTTCCTTAATGAGT